GGAAAGGTGGGGGCAGGGAGCTGAAAACACTGACGGGCACCCCAAATGAATTGCTAATAACCCATAAAATATGCTTGAAACTTCACAGATTACAAAGCATATTTACCTACCTTCCCCACCCCATTTTCTCCACTCCCACTTTACCTCAGGACACATTCATTCTTTTGGTCAACAAACCTTAATCAGGTGCCTACTATTGTGGGTTCCTTGGTGGCTGCTGGGTTGCACAGTGTGAAAGACTCAGAAGACCCAGAGCCACAGGGTAACTCGCATGCTCTGCCTCTGCCGAGGTTCAGCCTGTTGGCATCTTCAAGCCAGGCCTCTAAATCAACCATCCCTCTCCAGAAAGCTTCTTAAAAACAACCTAAAACCGTGTGTGGCAGCTCCTCAAAAAGTCAAACACAGAGTAATCACATGACCCAGCAACTCCACTCCTGGGTGCATGCTCAGTATCCAGCAGGGGCCGTGCAGGAGGAAGCTGATGAATGACTCTCATCATTGATGTTTCTCTCTCTCCCCGTCACCTTTCCTCTCTCTGAAGTCAATAAAAATATATCTTTAAAAAATATATACCACTAAGGTCAGTGTTACCGTCAAAAACCACTGACTCTCACAGATGTCATTACAGAAAAAAGGCCTGTAATTAACAGGAGGGTAATTTATCTGTAAGGACAGATTTTAAAATGAGAACTTATTTGTGTAGATGATAATAAATGACCTTTCAATATCAAGAAATCTCAAAGAGTTTTATGTCTATTAATTAATCCCACTCCTCTCCAGGGCAAGGTGGTCATTTGCTCCATCTGTAGTTTATCTACATGCTTCATGCCAGAGGGCTAAGCAGGAGTGGAGGGCCTGCCCACGGTCACACAGGGCCTCCCTTATAATACAAACACTCCGCCATCCTCTGGGTCCTGGGGGTGTCATCTCACTAAATAGCCACCCAACATCTCCACCGAAGAAAAAGGGCATCTAAGAGCTCCATGGTCATTATCCTTAATGACTTGGTCAAAATTTGACGAGGAGACTCCCTGAAAGCTCCATTAGCTCAAAAAAGTACCTGCCATACCCACGAAGCACATCCACACCCATGGAAATGGACAGCAGCAGCTTGTAAGAGAGTCACGAACCAGAGGAAATGGGCACAGGGGAACATCTTCAGTCGCATTCTGTCCATTGCAAAGACAGAAGGGTACTTGTCCTACATAGGTTGGTTTTTGTTTTGTTTTGTTTTAATATATAAGTGTAAGCACCTATCTTGTCTCCCCAAATAGATTACAAGCTCCTTTGGCATTGGGACCATTTAGATACTGGAGAAGCAGAGGAAAATAATAAATATTTGACAGGTTATGCACCAGGAGGTTCTCATTTCAAGTCTGGATTCCTTCCTTGTCTCTCATTAGGAAGTTATTTCATTCTTACTCATGCCAGACTTTGTGGAAAACTATTTCTCTCACTGGCAATCACCAGTCCTGTTCCAAAGGGGACAGTACAACACAGGAGTTGCAGCCAAGGGCTTTGGAATCAGGAAGTCGTGGGTTCAAACCCCAGCTCAGCTGTTCCAAGCTGCATGACCTTGAGCACGTTTTTTATCTTTCTCTGAAACCTTCGAAAACGGATGATAATATTGTCGTGGGAATTAAACAAGCTAACCTATGTAAAACACAACACAGAGCCTATCTCGCGTGGTAAGTTCAATGAATTACAGCCTTTGAGACCGCAAAGCTACATTCTAACATGAATGCAAATAAAAACAGCAAAACGCATTGAAAAACGGTGAAAAAAACAGCCTAGGGTCTTATGCAACTTACAAATGCTAAGTAACAGGACACCCATCTTGCCCTTGTTTCCCTGAGGGAGACTAAGGAGCACCAAGTCTTGAGGCCTTGATCAAATTCACGATAGAGCAGTTATAATATAACCTAGAAATATAAATATAACCCCTGCTGACCTTAAGACTGGAATCCCAGAATCTCTGCATGTCAATGCAAAAAATAAATAAATAAATAAATAAATAAGCTAAGAGATCAGTCCAACCCTCTTATTTTATAGATAAAGAAACTCAAGGCCAAGAGGCTAAGGGATTGACCCAGAATTATCCAGCATGTTCCACGATTTCTTTAAATATGTGTTATTTCTAGTCCCTGAGCCCTCCTCTTCTTCCTCTAATCAATTCTCCTCAACACCCTAGCAATGACACCAGTCATTTGAACCACAGAGAAGGATCTTGTTATCCTACCTCCCATGAGAATGAAAGTTCCTAAGCACAAGGACTGTCTTATCTCAGTGCCTACAAAATGGCGCTGTTGGACGCTTGGCAAGCCACTCAGTCGAGCTGGGCCTCAGTTTCCTCATCTGTAAAATTAGGAGGCTAAGATTAGATTTCCTTTTCAGCTCCCAAATTTTCTAATTCTACTCTCCTTACACCCTATGCCCCAGACAGACTTGCCAACCCACTCAAATCCAAACACACCCTGTAAATTCTCACCTTTGTATTTTTGCTCTTTCCCTTCTCCCCACTAGAATTTCTCTTCTTTCATTTCTGCTCACCTGAATCCTTCAGGGAACAGCACAAATCCCACCTTCTAAGGGAAGCCTGGGCCAGCCCCTGAAGACACCATACATAGCCAGGTTTTCCAACACTCAGTACTTCTCATGTTCTGCTCCTGGTGTTCAAAATCTTTTTTCTACGTAAAGCTTCTGTATTCAAACTGGACTAAAATCTCTCTGCATGTTCGTGATTCCCTTGCAGCATCCTGAGCACTACTAATAACTGATTGGTGTATGGATACATAGAAAAAGTACGACCAGGGACAAAAATAGAAAGTAGAGCAGATCTAGAATTTTTTGCATTTTACACAAAATTCCCAAACACTTTTATAACCAATAGTTCACTTACGCCACCAAGATTTACTATGAATCTCCTATGCTTCAGACACTGGTGGCATGTCACAGGTGCAGAGATGGGGAATGAACGGAGGCCCAGGTCGCTGACCGCATCTCTACTCACAAATAGCATAAGCTCCCCTGTTGTTCCCAAACTCTAACTTTTTACTAAGACCTTAAAAGGGTCAAGTGGTGGCAGCAACACCATCATCACACTCCTCCTCCTCGCAATTGGTCATGTATCTACTCCCCCCACTAGCCTGCAGAGCTGTTAACTTTAAAAATAAACAAAAACTCAAAATAGGTCAATAAATTAAAATACACACAAGGAAGACATTAGCCTAGGACAAATCTCTTCCAGAAACTTTATCCTAGCTGTGTACCCAGAATTTCTAGTCCTTCCTTTGACAGATTATTGTAAAGTGAACATATTGATAATCTTCTTTGGTATGATTTGACTATTGTCCTACATTAGTCTTGGTAAGTGACACACATTAAGAATGAACACCTCTGTCTTTTCGGACCCCCACAGCACACATGCATACGCACACTCCCCTAATTAAATGGGGCTGAGACTTGAACCATGTCACCTAATCTAATGACAAACAAGTTTGTGAACAAGAGGGGGAAGTAAATCAACTAAACGGTTTGTGGAGGGAGAGGCCAAGCTGGGCTGAGCTGGGCTGGAGCCAGGGTGATTCAGGCTCTGCCACAGAATGGGTGTCTCCTGGGATGGCCTAGCAGGACAATTAAAACCCCTATAAATAGGATGGGTTTCAGGCCTCCAGTATCCTCTTCGGCTTCTCAATCTTCAGCTCATTCCTCCTTACGCAGGTAGGACATTCATGGGGGAGCAATGGCAGTGTCCATGAGGCTCTGGATGGTGGCTGTGACATGCTGGGCTGGAGCGGTCTGAGACTACCCCCGAGGGTGATGGCCTTGGGTACCCTCCTGCTTCCTTTTCTTGGCTCTATCTGAGAATAGGATGATTGCTAGGATTGCCTGCTTCTGTGCCTGTAAAATATAATCGGTATGCTTTTGTTTCAGCGTGTCCTAGGCATTCCAAAGTCAAGGGCTTAGTCTCCTTGATTGGTGGACAGCTTAGCTTCCTCTAGTGGAGCATTTGCCTTTTGTGCAAGTTAGGCAAGACCCAAGAGTTTAGAGCTCATCAGGTGGACCGTGGGGCCACGTAATATTCAAGTCTCATTGCAATGAATTGCCACTGGAGACTCAGTCAGTCCCATGCAACTTGTTATTTGCACTTATCCCTGCAGGCATCACTGCATGCTTTTGGAAGTCCAATGTGCTTTGCAGTTAGGGTTTCAGTCTGGAGGCCTATAAACCCAGTAACTGGGATTTTCACACCTCAAGAAGAAATATCATTGAGAGCTAGATCCCCAAGGACCCCAGCCTCCTAGCACGGCCCATGTGAACTTCACTGATTGTATCATACTTCCTATCGTCTGTGCAGTAAATTTGGCCTGCAAGTTCATCTGTAACAGCAAGTAATAGAATCTGTTACTGATTCTATTTTATAATCATATCCCAAAGTGACCATCTGGGCCAGAAGCACTTGCTGGAATTCAGCCTCCCAGAAAGTTTCCCTGGCCCGTGGCAAGAGACCCCACTTGAGCGAGGCTCATTAGAAGACTGTGGCCTGTCCAGTGGGGTCTACGTAGTGCCCCATTCAGTGTGCTAGTCGTTAGTGGAAAATATGCTTTACTACACTGGCTTTGGCCCTGCCTTGTAGGCTTCCTGACTGTCTTTCCTTTTTGTTCTAATATGAGAGTTTCAATCAAGCAAGTCCCACCTGTCGTAGAAGATGGGACATATAAAACACCTACCATATATTTGTTGATTTTTGGAACTAGCCATTTTCTCTAGCAGGGGACCCATAATCTGCACCATCTCCCACTGTAGTGCGTGATATTTGGAGCCAAACTGTGGGTCAAAGGGAGTGAGGGGTATGGCTAAGGAGAAGCTCTGTCATTTCTTAAGATTCTGTCCCTGACCAAGAGGGACTGCATTCCCTCTGAAAATGCTGTCTCCTGGGCTTCATGCTAAACACAAACAAAATCTTGTTTCTTCTTTTAGGTTTACCTGTCTTTGCCCAAATGGCTCAACTCCTGAACAGCATACTCACCGTGATCAAGGTGTTCCAGAAATATGCTCAAGAGGACGGGGACTGTGCTTTGCTGTGCAAGAAGGAGCTGAAGCAGCTGCTCTTAGCTGAGTTTGGAAACATCCTCCGGGTAAGATGCATAGACTCTGGGCCCCATGGAGTCAGGTGTGAGTAACTCTGACACCTGCATCAAGGCCTGATTTTTGTTTTATTTGGTCATGCTCCACCCTGTAACTAAAAGAGTTTCAGACAGCTCCTTAGTAGCTTGCTCCCGGAACACAGACATGTGGGCACAGGCATGCCCAGACACATACATACACACACACACGCATACACACACACCTCCTAGTATCTGAGCTTGAACAGGAGGGAGTACAGCTTTGAACTGGAAATCATTTCTCAAAAACATCTTGATCCATATCTTAATTTCTCTATTTTAGTGCTATCCACACATCTTGTCATTCATTCATTCAATAGAGTCGTTAAGCACCTACTCCATACCAGCACCACACTAGCCACTGAGGATACAAACATAAGTAAAGCCAGCTTCCACTCCTTCCAGGATCTCACACTGTGGTTGGAAAAAAATTGGTAGACAAACAACTACAATATATAGCATGTAATGGGATGGGACAGCTTCCTCAAATGACTCAAATTAATTATTAATGGAGCTTATTTTAAATAAGTACATCTACTCCCTAGAGTCCTGTTCCCTTCAATGGGTCAACAAGGGATGGGGTTCTGAGAACCAGGTGTTCAAAGACTAGAAGCAAGCCTAAGTCACTTCAGATTAATGGTTTCTCAGCCAAGGAAGGCTCATGCAAACTAAATGGACTGGGGCATGGACCTGGGCACCCATGTTAGTGTCCACAAGAAAATATCTGATTTTTCTCTTTGTTTTTCTTCTCACAGAGACCAAATGACCCAGAGACTGTGGAAACCATCCTGAGCCTCTTGGATAAAGACAGAAATGGACATGTCGATTTTCATGAGTATCTCTTGTTGGTGTTCCAGTTGGTCCAAGCTTGCTATCATAAGGTGGAAAATAAGTCATGTGGAGATAGAACCTCCCAGCAAGAAAGGGAGCAGGAGGGAACACAAGACCATAAGTTTCCAGGAAATACAAGCAGACAACATAGGCAGAGGCATGAGGGAGAAAGGCAGGACACCTACCACAATCAGTCTAAGAGACAAAACCAGGACACCCGCCAGGATCAGTCTGAGAGACAAGATAGGGATTCCCGCTATGGTCAGTCTGAGAGGCAGGATCAGGACTCCTGCTATGGTCAGTCTGAGAGACAGGATCAGTACACCCACCATGGTCAGTCTGAGAGACAGGATCAGGACTCCTGCTATGGTCAGTCTGAGAGACAGGATCAGGACACCCACCATGGTCAGTCTGAGACACAAGATAGGGTTTCCCACCATGGTCAGTCTGAGAGGCAAGATCAGGACTCCAGCTCTGGTCAAAGACTGAGTCATAAATCTAGCAGTGGCCAGTCTAAAAGACAAGGATATTTATTTGCCTTAAATCAGTGTGAGAAACAAGTTCAGGATTCTCATAATGGCCAGTCTGAAAGGCTTAGACAACAACTAAGCTGGGACCAGCCTGGAAGACTTGGAGAGGACTCTTGCTCTAGCCAAACCAACCAACAGGAATCAGGCTCTTATTATGGACATTCTGTGAGGCTGGGTCAGGAATCAGGTTGCCGTCAGAGAAACAGGCAAGAATTGGATTCTCAGTATTGCCAGACATACACACAAGGCCAGAGTTCCCGCTATGGCCAGACAGACAGGCAAGGCCAGAGTTCCTACTATGGTCAGACAGACAGACAAGGCCAGAATTATCATTGTGGTCAGACAGACAGACAAGACCCAAGCTTTCAATATGACAAGGCAGACAAGCAAGGCCAGAGTTCCCACTATGGCCAGACAGACAGACAAGGCCAGACTTCCCACTATGGCCAGACAGACAGACAAGGCCAGACTTCCCACTATGGCCAGACAGACAGACAAGGCCAGACTTCCCACTATGGCCAGACAGACAGACAAGGCCAGACTTCCCACTATGGCCAGACAGACAGACAAGGCCAGACTTCCCACTATGGCCAGACAGACAGACAAGGCCAGACTTCCCACTATGGTCAGGTAGACAGACAAGGCCAGACTTCCCACTATGGCCAGGCAGACAGACAAGGCCAGACTTCCCACTATGGCCAGGCAGACAGACAAGGCCAGACTTCCCACTATGGCCAGGCAGACAGGCAAGGCCAGACTTCCCACTATGGCCAGGCAGACAGACAAGGCCCAAGCTTTCAATATGGCCAGACAGACAGACAAGGCCGGAGCTCTCAGTGCAGTCAGTCAGAAACTGGGGAAACTGGGCAAAATAGGTACTTCCAAGGTAGTGAGGGAACAAGCAGAGGCTCATGTGTTGAGCATTCAGGAAGGTCAGGGAGAGCAAGTCAACAGACTCAAGGACAGAAAATGAACAAAAATCAGGGACAGAGATTTCAATCTAGGGTAGGGCAGCAGAACAGTCACCAGTCATGGGAGCTTGAGGAAGACAGCCAACACCACCAACACAAACTCATAGCACAAATCCAGCAAGAAAGGCCACGCTCTCACAAAGGGAGAGATGGGCAATCATGCGGTAGTGAGCAGGGTCACAGACAGGCTCAGGCCAGGGAGAGCAATGGTGAGGGGCAAAGTCATCAGGCAAAGGAAGAGCAGGGCCACCAAACCTGGGGTAGACATGGTCATGAGCATCAGGAAATTCCACGTGAGACACAGGACAGGCAAACCCATGAAGAGAAACAAAGCCATCAGACACAGGACAGGCAAACTCATGAAGAGGAACAAAGCCATCAGAGAAGAGAGAGGCAAACCCATGAAGATCAAAACTGTCAGCAACAAGGGAATAAGCAAACCCATGAGAAGAAAGAGAGATATCAAGGGTCCCAGGATCAACAATCCCATGGGACCCAGCGAGGCTGTGCTAACAGAGAAAAATTCCACATGAATGAGGATGGCCAGAGCCAAGGCTCCCAAGGAAGACACAGTGACCTGGCCTTCCATCCAACCCAGAGCAATGGGAGGCCTCCAAGAAGAGAAGAGGGTAGAAGTCACCCTACCAAGGGGGCTATTGCTCCCAACCCCTTCTATGACTATCTACAAGAGCAGAGAGAGCACTGGCAGTAGGCCTTGTGCACAACCAGCGCTACTGCCGAGGAAGAAATCTGTGTCAAGTTCATATGTACTTCTGTTTAAGAGATTGAAAATGCATGTCTTCCTTCTCTCCTCTACTTCCTTTCTACTTGCAAGGACGCTTTGGAGGACTAGCATTCACTTTTAGGGCATTTCAGTTCTTTGAGCAGCAACTCTAGGGTGTTCTGGTTGGGTGAAATCTGAGTGGTAAATTGGGTGAGATAATCAGATCCCAATTTTTATAAGTTTGGGGATTTAAATCATTTCCTGGTTTGCCCTGAATGTAGATAAGACATGGTTGGGTCACTGAAAGGTAGAAACTTTTCCCAAAATTCAGAACAAGAAAGGTCTTCTGAAGATACATATCACAAACCAAGAAGAGGACATCTGGGGTTTGGTGAGCTCTGGCTCCTGTGGATGAAACATCAGGAATTGCAAGCCTCATAGTCTACACTAAAATGAAACACAGTGAGAGGCTGCTAGGAGAGTCAGAGATCACAGAGGGCATATCTGATTCATAAGACCTCCAGTCCCCAGTCTCCTACCCTTCACCAGAGGGAATGTCCATTGAGCTCCTATCACCACAGCTGACTAGACTGGTTTTAGCTCAATGCCTTTCTATTTCCTGATCATATTAAGTAGAGAGAAAGCAGATGTCATCCATTTTCAAATTCCAGTGAGCTAAAACTGTCGACCCATAGCTCCTGGAGCCTGAGGACACTTCACAAGAAAATCTATGGAATTGTATTTAAATACCCAATAAATAATTGGTGAGCAATTACCATGATGACTCTCCTTCTTCACTGGGGGGCTGTGCTATCTTCATTTGCTTGCCATTTTCCAAGAACAAGACCTAATTTCTCAACTTCTAAGATCTCTTTGTTCTTTGAGTTTCTGGGCACTGAAAAAATAAAAATCAATAGGAAACAAAATAAAAAGGAGTCAAAAGAAATGTATCTAAATATCATTTTCAGCTCCTTCCCCCACAGAGAAGTCAAATTTGTCTCTTCCCCATCATTCATGTCCACGTTCATATGGTCATTAAGTCTTGTCAACTCTATATACTCCATACCTCTTGAGTCTCTTACCACTTCTCCATGTCCACTGCCTCAATCTCCTTTCTGTTCAGTGGCTCCCAGTGACTATAGAATAAAGTTTACCCCCTTTAGCATGACACATAGGCCCTTCACCATCTGACCTAGATGACTTACCAGCCTAGTCTCAGGAAGGACCTCTCCCAGGAGCATTCAATGCTCTAGTCATGCCAAGGATTTTCTTAGTATACCACAGTCTTCCATTAACTCATGTTTTTTAATATACCATTCCATAGCCTGGAATACTTCCCTCCCTTTTCTACCTGGCAAAAATCTAGGCATCCTCATTTCTGAGCAGCCTTCCTGGACACTCCAGCACTCCTTCCTCTAAGTCTCCATGCATTTCTGTTACAGCATTTGTCACACACTTTATTGTACTTATCTTTCCTAACAAAACTAGGAATAAGACCATAACTTACTCGACCTTCTACAGCAGGTCCTCAAATAAGGTTGCTTCGTTCAACATTCTTTGTTTTAACATTGATGAGAAAAAAATTTTTATTCCAAACTGGGGTCACAGTCTGGGTGGAGTTGGCACATTCTCCCCATAACTGAATAGGTTTTCTCTGGATACTCTATTTTTTGTTCCCACATCCTAAAGATGTGCACATCAGGTGAATACGGCATCTCTAAATTGTCCCACTCAGAGTGAGTGTGCCCTGCGATAGAAGGGTGTCCTGTCCAGGGTGGGTTCCTGCCTTGCGCACTGAGCTGCCAAGAGACGTTCCAGCCACCTATGACCCTGAACTAGAATAAGTGGGTTGTAAAAAAATTATCTTACTTGTTTTTATTTGCCTTTCTTAAATGTATGTATAGCTCACATTTATCTCAATGTTTAATATTAGAAGTGTGTTGGTCTTAATTGAGAAGTTTGGTGATGTTTTTGTGACCGGGAACTTAACTCTTATTTATACCAATTAACATATGGTAAAACTGGTTCTATTATACATAATTTCACTGAAAGTTACAGTTTCCAAGAGCCTATCGACAATGTTAAGTGAGGACTTACTGTACTACTCTGCACTTAGTGTAGCCAATGATATATAATGGCATCATTAATTTTTGTTGAATAGGTGAGCAAATGGAGGAAATTAGTCTGGCTTGGGAATAAATTCAACGGAAAATTTGTTCAACTGAACAGATAAGAGAGACTAAATGAGACCTTTCTTCAGTCAGGGCTCAATGGATGAAACAGTAAACATTTTAGATATTTTAAGCAAAGGGGGATTTAATGCCTAGAATTAAAAGGGTTGAATTACTAAAACTCAGCAAGCAACTTCTGGAACTATTGAGTTCAATATATGACCAGTACTACAGTCGAGGAATCAGAAAGCTGGAATCCAGAAGCTATTAGAACTGCTGCCAAAATTGCCTGTCAACATCCACACCTCCATAGCCTTGTTTGCCCAAGGCAAATTGCCAAAATCACAATACCTTCCAAATATTGTGCAAATACATTTAACTGGTAAAACATAATTCATATCCAGAACCTAGCTGCAGGGGAATCTAGGAAATACAAAAGGAGATAAGAATGAATGCTAAGAGCCATCAGATCATTTTCACCATAGGAAGGATATAAAAATTCACAATAGCCCCTTTCCTCAAAGAGACTACACTATAGCAAGAAATTTGTATAGAGCAAACACCACTAAACAAGGCAAGATGTCCTAAATAAAGAAAATTGGCATGATGATACCAAGAAGGGAGTAAGTCTGTTGGAAGGACTGAAAAAGACTTCCATGGAGGAGAGCACCTAAGCTAGGGCCATGATGCTGGGGGAGAGAGGATGGGAAGGATCATGGCTTGTTCTGAGCCTTAAAGTCAGTGCAGAAGCCCATTTGTTGGCTGCTATTTAAGTTGCAAAATTGTAAGCTGGGTCTTCTTTACAAATGTTCTCTGTAACTTAGACCCTCCCCAGAAAGCTAAACCAGATGGTACAGAGCAAGCCCCAAAGTGAGAAGTCTCAAGATCAGGAAGCTGCTCATGGCTCGTGCGGGCTCTGAGTGGGTCAGCAGGCAGCACAGGATGGGAGGGGTTTTTGTATTCTAAGGAGAGGGAACAGCATGAATACAAAACGGAGAAAGCCTAGGAGAGCTTGCATGAAGCAACTGAACATGCACAGAACACAAACGAGAGAAAGTAGAAAGTCACAGCTGAAAGGACAAAATGGGCCAGATGATGGAAGCCCCCCAACTCTACCATGGGCTCGGAATTGTTTCCCATTAGTAGTAGGAACCACAGAAGTTTTCTGAGCAGAAAATGAGAAACAAAGAGGAAAACTGGTAGAAAAAAAAAAAAGGTTGGGATAGAGAGAAATAGCTAATATAAGGATGGCATTGGTCAATTTGATCTGTGTGACTTCCCCATCATAGATACAACACACACTTGCGCAGACCTTGCAACACTCCCCTGCTTGAAAGGCTTGGTAGTTTTCCACGGTACCGAGAATAAAATTTAGCACTCTCCCCAGGGCCCTCCTAGGGTGGGGCCCTGCCAGATGTCCTCTTGTACCTCTTCTCAGCCTCCATACCTCTGCTCATATCATTTCCTCCACTTAAATGCTCTCCTAATCTTCCCCTGTCAAAATCCTACCCATTCTACTAATTAGCAACAGCTTCTGGACCTATCACCAGTACAGAGCTTATCACATTGCACTGAAGTCCATGTTAAACCCATCTGTTTGCCACATCAAGCTGTGAGGTCCTAGAAGGCAGAAATCACATCTTAGTCACAGTCTTGTCTTCAGCACCAAGCATAAAGACTGGCCAATTATATAGAAAGAGACTGGGATTTAGAATAAAAAGACCTGTATTTGAGACCTAGCTCTATCACTTGCTAATTTTATGATCTTAAAAAAAAAAAAGAACTTTATCTCTTTAAATCTCAGTTTCTTCATGTGTAAAGTAGGGTTTAAAATTCCAATAGTGCCATGGCGAAGTAGCTAAGTTGGTTAGAGCATTGTCCTGATACCCCAAGGTTGCAGGTTCAACCCCAGGTCAGGACATATACAAGAATCAACCAGTGAATGCAAAAATAAGTGGAGCAACAAATCAGTGTTTCTCTCTCTCTCTAAAATCAATTAAAAAACATATTTAAAAGTAATAATAATAATCTGATATCTTCTTGCTTATTTAGTTGGTATTTATTGTCTTTTCCCCTTTGGCATTATTTTAATAGATTAATAAGTACTTAACATATTATTGAAAAGCCCAGCTTAAGTGCCAGCTCCTCCAAGAAGCCTTCCTTGACCCCCCTTCTTCCCAGACAATAGTAACCGCTCCTTTGTCTTCAAGCAACGTCCCTGAAACCTTCCTCCCATCCTCCCAGTCTGCATTACCGTTGGTGACAGTGAGCATCCCTCACCCCCTGACTGTATTAGAGGGTCCTTCAGAACAAGGCCCACACCTTGTGCCCCACATCATTGTTATGACCCAGAATCCCTCAGAATAAGCACTTGGTGAGTGCTTGTTGAGCCAAATTAAACTGAATGGACTCTTTCCATTACATCACAACTCTTCCCTCCCAGCCCGGCCCTGCCATTCTGTGGCCACAGTCCTGCCCTCTTAGTGCGCTTCAGGCCGGCCTTGCCCCCACCCAGGACCCAGCCTTCCCTCAGACTTCCTGCGCCTCTCCTCCAGGAGCCCCAAGTAAACAGAGCTCCTGAGGGCAGCGTGGCTTCCCCTCAGCGCCACCAGCACTTTTCCTTATTTGCAGGGTCCCAGATTGTGGTCATTCTATGCTCTTCTTGCTTCACTTGCCCCCTTCTCCTCTGTTTTACTCCAAACCCAATAATTCCTGTCCCTCACCTCCTTGAAAGGCCAGTTCCAAACTCACCTCCTTTAACGCTCCTTCAGTGCTCTGCTGAGTTCTGTACACTCAGGTTTCCCTGTGTGCGTTCTG